ATTAGTGAAAGTATTTATAAGCCTTAAAGCAGTATACAGCTAATACCTATTTTAATAAGCACAAACTTTTCAGTCATGCTTGCTGATTATATAGTTCCCCACAGAATACTATCAAATAGTTTTATCCATGACCTGTGGGTATAATCAGTATTAAATCCCTAAGAATCAAGAAACTTATTACAATTAATGGCACTATGGGTCATATGAGGTTGGATTTGGGGATTGGGGTATTGGGAACCTTGAGTGAAAAGCAGAAGAATACCTGAATCACACAAGACCAGCTCAGTCCCCTGAAATTCTGAAGCTGGTCATGCAGCTCAGTCAAACTAAGGCAAGGAGTGGTAGAGGGTCATAGAATGTGAGAGTTGGGGAGGATCTTAGAGATCATTAAATCTAGTTCCAGCACTTAAGAGGTGAAGGAAAGGGTTTTCTATGGGCTTATTCAAACTAAGCTTGTCTTTTTAGTGTTTGAGGGCTCCCTATCAAATTTCCAAAGAAGGCTCACCAGACACTGATGGGAAGAAGCCCTTTTTGAGGGTGGGGAGTGGGGGTGGAGATAAATCAAAGGCATCGGGAAACTAGCAAGGTACCCACAATGCATGAACCCCAAGAAGTTCTCCAGTGTCAGAGGAGCTCATTTTCAGGATGAGAGTTCTGCCTTCTTTCCCCTGAAATCTCTATTAGAGGCTAATTAGGGACTTCTGGTAAAATTGACTCCATATCCCAACCATTTGTTTTTCTCACAGTGGTTTTCATGTCTGGGATGGAGAGAGAACAAAGAACAGACTGCATTACACAGTAGGAGTGATTGAAACATCTCCATTTTGGAGCTGTTAGCTAAGATCTATCAAAACCATAAAATAGAGCTGTCCAAAGGGTAGGGGTTCTTGTGTATGAAGTCACTGCTCTTTTCATGGACTGGATTTAAAAAATGGGACTGTGATTAATTGGCTTTGTGTCCCATGCTGTGGAGGTAATTGTTCATGTGGCTTCTGCAAGGTATGCCTGTCTTTCAATAACTATTGTAAATTTGGATGGAACTTGTTGGTTTCCAAGTGGAATGAGGGCATTAGAGTTCAAGAGCTCTTCCTACCTGCTTCTTAGATGTGATAGTGGATTGGCTCATAGGATCCTAGATCTACATCTAGAAAGAACCTCAGAGGCTAACTAAAACAATCCCCCTAATTTTTACAGATAAGGAAACTGAGGCCTAGGGAGATTAAATGACTCACTTTGTGTGTGTCACTCAGGTAGTATCAGGGACAGGATTGGAACCCAGGGCTTCTTGATGCAAGAGCCAGTGCTCTTTTCACTATACCATGTAGTTTCCTATATCCCTCAGGATATTTCCCTCTTTCTCAATGTCTTAAGCCCTATTTTGTTGCTCCTTTCAAGGAATCTTTGTTAGGCTTTCAAAATCTCTATCTTTCTAGGTTGGCTGGAATTTTCCAGCCCCATAAATGTTCTTCAAGGATTCAAATGGATATCTGGATAAATCCGGCCTCTACTTATGACTATGTCCAGGAAGCACATCACTCTCAGACTTTGGAGAAGAAATCCCATTGCTTCTCAGTCTTTGATTTCCCTGCTTGTGCTGTATTTTTTTTTACAGCACTGTCTCTTTGCTTGTCACCTCTCTGCCCTAGCACCTATCCAGTCTTTGAATGAGAATATAGTAAATTGGCAGCCCCATTTTCCTATTTAGTCTTCATCTGTTTATAAGAAAATTAAGACTCATTTGTATTTATTGATGTTTCTTTGTTTAGGTTAAATCAGTTTCATAACTCTGTCTCCATAGATGGTCATGCAGTTCTGTAGACTTATAGCTGTCACGTTGGTAGGTGGCCAAGGCATGACAGAAAAATATTAGTTTGGATATCAGAACGATCTGGGTTAAAATCCGCAAGTCTATTGCTTCCTACCTGTGAGATCTTGGGTCAGTCACATAAACTCTCTCAGCCTCAGTTTTTTCATTTGTAAGATTAGGGGGTTGGACCACTAAGGTCCATTTCAGCTCTAACATCTGCCAATGTCTTATTCATCTTTTGTAAATAGTTGGAGGTCCTGTAGGGCCTGAAGTGAGAGATTAGGGAATTTTGATAGTTGATAAGCATGTGTTGGGATGAGCATGTGTTTATGAAAGCAGGTGATGAGGTAGTCAGTGTATTTTACAATGCCCTACTAAACATTTATATATTAGCATTGAGGGATAAATGAGAAAGGATGACCAGGTTCTTTAAAGGAAGGTAAACTATGGTTCCATTTTAAGGAATAACATAGGACTTTTAGAATTACTCAAAGGAAAACTGTCAAATGATATTTTATTACAGTGTGATTCTATTCGTGCTATTGCAACAATGATCTTGCTAGGTGGCTCAATTCAACTGGATAACAGGATTCTGTTTTATAGACAACTTTCTTGACTTAAGTCTATATTCCTAACACAAGATGATTGGGGCCAAAGAAGTCATATCTTTTTTTAGCACTTTAGCCTTGACTCTTACCACCCAGGCCCATTATGAATATGACCTTAAGAAATATATGAAAGAGTTAAAGTTACCTTGTTTCCTTGCTAATCAACATGACTGGTCACTAAGTGGATTCATGCCTTACTTGTCAGGATCTTTCCTGAAGTCCTATTTCTCTGTCTTTGGCTCTGAGATTTACATGCAACTCCTGATTTTTGCTTTTTTGTAAGGGAAGCATCTTTTTTAATTTTCCAATTCTTCTAAAATGGGTCATCTCTCCTGTGCCAATTTCTCTCCTGCCAAAATCTGTAGTTCTTCCTACTGTTTTGGCCCACATATCAACCAACTTAACAGAATAGGTAGATTGGTGTCATGAAATGTATACTATCTTGGGAGTTTTTGGAGACCTGGGTTATAATTCTGGCTTGACCCCCAATCAGATATTCAAGCTTTAGAAAATCATTTGACATCTCTGGGCCTGTTTGCTACTCTATAAAATGAAGGTATTGAACTGGATGGCCACTAAAGTCTCTTCCTGAAGAGGCTTTTTTTCATGTATGTGTGTATACATATATGTGTGAATATATGTATATATGTGTGTATATATGTATGTATATATGAGATGGGTTGTTTGTTCATTTTTTTTTTACTAACTTTCTGTGGAGCCTATGCTGAATTCAACCTGGAAAGTACTAGCTTCATTTTTAGTGCTGGGTGTTCCAAGGTCTTAAGAGGCATGTTAAAGGGGCCCAGTGCTCAGATTGTCTCCTCACTGAGTCCAAACAACAGTTTTACTTCCCCCTCAAAGAAGACACATTTTGGGAGATATGCTAGCTAGCCCCAAGGGATTGCTGTTCCTTTCTAATGTAGTCAAGTTTGTGTTGGATTGCTCATGACTTCATGAGCAAATTTCTAACTCTCAAACTCAAACAGTGAATGTTGGCTAAGGGTCCTAAAGTCTGTGGTCTGGATCAAGCCCTAGGTTTGCAGAAAATGGAGGCAATCAATGGACTGTCATCATGGAACTGAAAAAAGGAGGGAAGGAGAGAGCTGGGGAGCTGCACAAAGATTTCAGCAGATGGTATAAGATGTGGTTGAAATCTACTTTGAAAGTAGAAAAAGCTTCCAAAATAGCCACTGGGACTCCCTGTCCTCTTAGGCTTTTTTTTTTTTTAAAAAAAAGAAGTCAAATAGTGATAGTGAAGATACAGCATGTAATAAAATGGGAGGTAGGCACAGTTCTCTCCTCTTCACCTTTGGATTTCTAGATGTAATTTGCTCTGGCACTTTTCATTTTTCCTATCCTAGATAAATAATAAAGGAAGGTAGAGGAAAATTTCTCTTGAGCTTATCGTCTAATGGGGTCATTCCATCCCCACTGGGACCAAGAATCTACCACTGCCACCCCATACTGATTGATGGAATAGCTGCCTGGTTACTTGGCAGGATTACTTTGACTTTAACTGGTTCACCCATAGTTCAGTGATATTGATTGAGTACAGGAATGTGGTCATTGGCAATTCCTCAAAAAAAAAAAAAGGATCAAACATTGAGGAAAACAGGTACTTACTCTGCAAGTGTTTTCTGTGCTTACTCTGAGGAATAGAATCTACTTGTTGGTGGGGACAATATCTTATGTTTTTGCTATATTGCCCATGGCTCATAGCATGGTGCTGAGCATGTAATAGATACTCCATAGAGAACTGTTGATTGGTTGAGTTGAGGGAGATTTATAGTGCAATATGACATGGTTTATGGAATCCAGTGTCAGGGATTTTAAGTGTTACGTATTTTGAATCAGGGTCTGGAGTGGGGATGACAAGTGTAGTTGGGAAATGCCATTGTTAGCAAGTGAAAGAGAAGTGGGGCTCCCTGAAAAATCTTGAAAGAAAGAGTATCTCTTGGGTAAGAATAATAAGAGGGACAGAAGTTGAAAATTCAGAATCATTTAAAAGGAGCCTAGGTCACTAGAATAGTGAAAGGCCGACACGTTGTTGCCAGAAAAATTATGTTTAAGAACTGTCTCATCTGTTGGCCTCCTACTTAGGGCATACTGATGTTAACAGTTGGCTAATGTATCAGCCAGATGGGTTGAGTTAAGGCCCTATTTCAGAGATCATCAATAACCACCACTCTCAGGATAGGAAGATGAAGGGCATCTCAGAGAGAAGACAAGGGAAGAAGATGAAAGTCCTAACCCACCAAAATAGTAAGGGCTACTGGACTTGTCCCTGGTTTGAGCTTTCATGAAGACTTTCCTTTGTCTCCTTTAGCGAGGAGTTGGGGTATGGTTAAATAGGAGGGAGACCTGGGACGAAGGGTCAGGACCTTAGAATTTCATCACCTGGGAGAGTAGAATGCTGCGGGACTGACTGTCCTCTCTGTACTATCTTCCTGCTTCATTTCCACTTCCTTTATATACCCTTAGTAGGTTGCAATAGCACATCATTATTATTTCCCCCCACCTCATTTCATATTATAAAATATAAACAAATGACAGAAAAGGTCGGTTGTTTACGGGCTCTCCTCTGCTCACAAGTGTAGGGACCGTCGTTTCCTTCCAACCACAGGTGGGTGGTTGTAAGGCCGCATCTTCATTTCCACAAAGGGGATGGAGAACTCGTGGCCTTTCCAATGATACCAGTTGATTCCCTGTTCAGGACAATGATAAGGGTATTATATTCTCTTTTTACTCTCCCATTACTCCCACAAGCCAACCCCTAGCTAAGAGAGATGTGGAATGGTGCAATTTTAGGAGATGCAAAGGGGAAAAGGGACCCAGTATATGGGTTTAGCAGGTTTTCCATTCGTGTAACATCTGATGGATCTTCCATTCCAGCCAAGTTCCTCATGTGATCCCTATCTTTCCATTTTGAACAGCCATGGAACTATGCATTTCCAGCTTGAGATAGGGATACTCTATCTTTAATTGCTGGGGGTCACCTTTTTGGCTTTTAGTGATAGTAACAGGTAGATTTTTTTCCAAGTGTTATGGGAATCTGGTGCACCTGCAGATCCAATCATCTTGCTCTCGTGGCATTGTCATAAGGAAGACTTAAGAAAGCTGCTATTGGGAGAACCATGACATGTAAGAAAGTGCCTTGGAGAGACAGTCTGGAACAAATGTAGATCTTCCGTAACGGGTTCCAGGTTGAAGAGGGACTTTGATTTGCTGCAAAGGAATATTCAAAAGGTCCTACCAATTTTGGTTATAGTCTCTTTTTCTCAGTGCTCTTGTGGGATCTTGGCAACTAATCATGATAGAGGAACCTATATGGCCTTGTAAAATTGGGAGATCCAAGGGACCTCCTGAGCATCCTATTGTTCCTGAGTTTGGGTTTTGCTGCCAGCACAGGACCTTGACAACAAGTTCAAGTCTCCTTCCCCCTGAACTATACTTCTTCCCTTTCCCCAGGGCCTCTTAAACCCTACAGGGTACTGGCTTTTGGGGATGACTTTGCTGGTTGACTCTACCCTGCTGAAGATTAGTATCTCTTGTCAGATCTGAAACGAAATTGAAAATTCTTCCTTTTTCCTCCTCTGGCTTCTAGTCCTCTATGCTATTTTCATTCTATTATTTGCACTGTATTCTTGCCTTCCTGGAGATGGGATTCCATGTGATCATTTACAAGGGAGAAAAAGTATTCAGAATCATATGCTCCTATAAACTACAAGGCAGAGGGACTACAGACTCTATTAGTTAAAATAAAACACCAATATTTAAGTGCCTGGATGGGTGAAATGGTTAAAAAAATTAAAAGAGTGATTACTGTCTTAAAAAAACAAAACAAAACCCAAAATACTCCTTTCTCCCAACATTTGTCCTTACCTGACTGTGCCTGGACTCCCCATACTTTCCATTTAGGTTGGTTCGGTGGCAGTTCTTATACCACCACGCTCCCTTGTAGGACATGGCACAATTGGTAACAGCAACATCATTGTCCCTGTCCTCAGTGGAGAAGGGTCGCCCTTGGTGATAAGTAAGGGAATCCCCTGCAAAGAAAGAGAAGTGGGATTTAATGGATACTTATCCCTGAAAATGTGCTTTCCTCTCACGAAGAAATTCAATCACTCAAACATTCCCATTTCACAGAGTCCATTAGCTACCCACTGTCTGAAAAGGACTCCTTCATCTTACACCCCAGGGCTGACTACTTCAATGCTACCTTCTCCAGCAACCTGGAGTCCTTCACATGCTGGCCTTTCACCCAGGCTACTATGCTGTTCTCCAGCACTGGATTGCCTTCATTATCCATATTCTAGCACATATCTATTTAGAGGCAGCTAGATGTCAGACTTGGGGTCAGGAAGACTTGAGTTCAAATCCTCCCTCAGACACTTACTAGATGTGTGATCCTGAGGAAGTTACCTAACCTCTCTCAACCTCCGTCTCCTAAGTGGGGATAATAACAGCACTTTCTCATTAGGATTATTGGGAGGACAAGATGATAATATTTGTAAAGTGTTTTGCAAGCTTTAAGATGCTATATATAAGTCACTGTTCTGTTCTTACCTGGCCCATTACAGATTCCTACTATACAACTTCAGTCTGGTTCTTGTAATTCTTTCTCCTCCTATCTCTAATCCTTTGCTCCTCTATTCCCCTGTCAGCAGATGATTCATATCCAGTTTCACAGAGAAGACAGAGAGCATCTGGTGTGAGCTGTATTCTCCCCAGTTTTAACAGAGTACTTTCCCTATGTTTTATCTTACACTCCTTTCCAGTTCAGTGGAAAAGTTTTCTCTCCTCTCTGACGATCCAAATCCCATCCCTCCTCCTCTAACACCTCAGTCCTACAATTATACTCTCCCTCTCTAGCATTTTCCATCTTTCCCACTTCATGGGCTCCTTTATGTTCCTTTGTGCTCGGTACAACAAAGATGTATTAAATACCTGCTACACACACCTAGTTTTGGGGATAGATCCAAAGATAAAAATGAAAAGCCCATTGTTCTCATTTCTACCCAGATGTGGCCGGATAGAGATAATGTCCCATAGACAAGTAAGTGCCAGGGCATTGCAGGAGGAAGGGTTGGGAATCAAATAAGATGACTCCTGAGCTGAGCCTTCAGGCTTCAGCTTTCTTGTCAGGAAGATGAAGACAGTGATTATTGGAGAAGAATGCATCCCTGACATGGTGTGTGGCTTTTCCAACTTCACAGAGGTTGGAGATGGGATCCCAGGCATGGGGAAATGGCTAGAAGTCCAGTTTCCTAGGAATGTAGAGTTAGTGAAGGAAAATAATGGGAGCTAAGACTAGAAATGTGAATTGGAACCAGTTTATGGATGGCCTTCAGAGTCAAGCTGAGGAAGTTGTATCTTTTCCTAAGGGAAATTAAAGGTTTTATAGCAAGTGAGTAACCTAGACCTGGCACTTCTACCTTCAAACACGATTAAATGTCATCTGCCTTAAATAACATTAACAAACAACTTTGTACCCTACAAATAAAAGAGAGCTCTTCTTGGGGCTCCTGACAGCTTTCTTGGGATTGGTTACAAAACTACACTGTATCCCTCATGGCACCTACCTAAGCCAGTCTAGACTTGAGGATCTGAACCCAACTTACTTTTGATCAGTTGAGGGCAACACACTCCTCGAATGTAGTCCACAATGGATGCCTCCATTTCTTAACCACTCTTAACCCTTTCTTAACTTCCTGCAATCTAATTTTTGTCCTTACCACTCTACAGAAATTGCTCTCACAAAGGTCACTACAAGCTCCATGCCAAATCCAATGCCTGTTTCTCAATGCCCATTCACTTTAAACTCTCTCTGGCATTCATTTACCACCCACCCACTCTTCCCTGTAAATGTCTCCTCTCTTACCTTTCATGACACTGCATTTTTCTGACAATCTCCCAATGTCTCTGCTCCCTTCCTATGTCCTTTGTTAACTCCCTTTCCATCATCTACCCAGAATTTTGTCCTAAACCCCATGTGCTATTTCTGTAGAGGGCTCCTATGGCTCTGGTTCCCATAGCTTCAGCTAACACTCCTATCTGGATGATCCCCAAATTCTTATTTCTAGTTCCAACCATGCACTGGAACTCTAGTCCAAAATTTCCCATAGTATATAAGATATTTCACTTGAATGTTTCCCAATCACCTCACACTCAATATGTCCCGAATAGTATTCACCATATCTCCCCTACCTAAATCGACTCTCCTTTCCAATTTCCTATTTCTGTCAATTTTCCCATCTCCTAGGATTGAAACTTTGGAATCATCTTCAATCCCCCCCCCATTTCCTATATCCAATGTCACCAACTGTTGTCATTTCTTCATTTTAAATGTTGCTCTGAATCTCCAATTCCTTTCTACTCTACTGTAGGTTCTTGTTGCCTTTTTGTTTGCAATGATTAGTATACCTCTTAACTGTGAACTTTGACAATGCTAATCTCTTTTACTCCATTCCCTCCTGCAAAATCTTCACAAAGAACACTTTCATCATGTTCCTCTTGTGTTTCATAACACAATAGGTCTCTATCATCAATTGCATCAAGTCCAAATTCTTACGTCTAGCTTTCAAGGTCTTTCTTGAATTTGGTTCCACAAAGGCCACATGGTATAGAAGAAAGAGATTTAGAGCTAGAGGACCTGGGTCTGGATGTTGGCTCTTGTTATTTATAATCTGTGTGACCTTGGACAAGTCATATTAATTCTCTGGGACTCAGTTTCTTCATTTCTAAAACTAAGATGATTTCTGATGTCCCTTCTAGGTCTAAATCTTATCTGTATTGTGTTTATCTAATCTATTTGAAATTACTTATCACCGTTTCCCAGCTCATATGATCTATTTTGGTCAGACAGGCCCCCTGATTATATACACTATATGTCATAATCACTTTTTTGGCCTTTACTCATGCTGTTTGCCTCATCTGAAATACCATTCACAATCCTCTCTAACTTTCCTAATCCATTCTCTTCATAAAAACCAGGTCAGTGTCCATCTTCTTTGCAAAGACTTCCTCAAATGCCTTACCTCACATTGATAGCACCCTTCTCTAGGTTTTTAAACTTATAATCATAACTGCATAATTTAGGACTTGTTGTCCACTTATTTTATTCACATTTTAGGGACAGGATGGAGTCCCTGAAAATTGTGGAAATGTCTGCCATAGTCAGACCTGACACCTTTTACCTTCAAATATTTTATAGTACTTTTTATCTGAATTTATATATGTATATATCTACATATACATGTAGATATATACATATACATGTAGATACATACATATATGTATATATATGTATATTTACCATCCAATCCCATTTCATGTCCTTAAAAATATCATAAACTCTTTATGGTCATGGATCACGCCTCCTCATTCTTCTTTTGTTAAGTGATTAGTAGAGTGCTAAGTTCATATTAGCATTCAATCAATCTTTGTTGACAAGTGGACTTGTAATTTTATGTTGGACACCTATTACAGTCCTAGATGAAGACTTAATTTTTTTTAGCTTTGTGCTGAGGAGAACAGTAGGAAAGACTTAACTTAGAGGGGCTAGAAAAGGCACTGATAAATAGAGTGAAAGCTAGTGAAAATGTTTATAAACCCATAACTGGTAAGAGTCAATCCAAAAATTAGATTGAGCAACAAGTCAAATTAAATGAGGCTGGAGTTGGAACAAATATTAGATTCTGAAAATTGTAAGAGAGGAAGACAATGAAATCTTTCTGCCTCTAGGTCTTTAGGCTGAAGATAGACAACCATTTGTCTAGGATTGCTGAACATAGGCAGCAGATCAAGTGATTTTTTTTTCATGAAAGCACCTTCTAGCACAAGGCTAGGAGTAGGAAATTGTCTTTAATAGATCAGACTATAACCAGTAGAAATGGTTTGATAAAAACTCATCATAGCTATCTCTATATGAGATATGGTTAAGCAGAAAAGAAAAACAGAAAGTCACCTGTGTATATGACAAGGTTAGAGACAGACAAGTTCAGTGAAACCAAGAACTGTAAAACTCTGGTTTAAATTAGATTTGTGCTTCCCCTCAAATGTTGTTTTGGGAAGGTTTGTGTCTTATGCCTTTTAGAGAAACAAGGACTAGGGATAGTTTATCCACAGGCATAGGATTAATCTTGAGTATTGTAAAAAAGGAGTTTGAGTGTCTCCTGGTCACTCCTGGCTTAATCAGCTTTATTTCAAGACCTGAACAATAAGGATGACCTAACAACTGAAAATAGTGTGTTTCAAGACCTGAATAAAGATGACCTTACATCTAAGAGTAATGTGACACAAAGACCACTATAGGACCTGGAATTCTCAGGCTCATCTGAATTCTGGCTCTCCTACTTATTGGCAGTGGTGATTCAGTTTACCTCTCTAAGTTTACCTTAGATTTCTCATCTGTAAGATGGAGATAATAATTGGTATCTTGAAAGGAAGTATGGTCCAGTGGATTGAGGGCTGGCCTTATTGTTGGAAAGAACTGGGTTCCAATTCTTTTATCTGCACTCCCTATACAAGTAAGTCACGTGACCAAAGGCAAGTCACTTCATCTCTCTGCGCACAGACAACTCCCTAAGACTCCAGGTGACAGATGAATTGCTGTTCTGCATTAATGGAGGGAGTTTTCAAACCAAGACTTCCACAAGTCACAGTCCCAGAATTTAAAAATTGACTATCTGTATTATATATATAGGGTTTTAGTGAGGCTCACATAAGGTGACACAGGCATCTTGGGAAGTGCCCTATAAATGCAAGTTGTGGTTAATATTATTATCAAAGCTCAACATATTGCCTAATTAAGCAGAAGGATTTGTGGCAATTTTTCAAGACAGTGTGATTGTCACTGGAGATGATCATTGATATATACACAACGACAAAGGAAAGCTCAGCCAGTAAGAGCAGCAAAGAACATAGCAAGCTAGTTCAGAGTGACTGGAGAAGATGGTCTATGGATTTATACTGAAAGCTCTCTCATTTATATAGCTCTCTAAGGTCTGCAAAACACCTTTGCATATACTATCTTACTTGATGCTCCTAACAAAAGATTGGGAACAGATCAGAGTGTCTGTTTAGATAAAATTAATGACAGAATAATAGGGGCTTAGAGCCTTGCTTGGGGCAGTAGGTAGTACAGTATATAGAGTGTGGGGCCTGGAGCCAGGAAGACTCCTCTTCCTGAGTTTAAATCTGACCTCAGACTATGTCACCCTGGGGAAGTCACTTAATCCTGTTTGCCTCAATTTGCTTATCTGAAAAATGAGCTGGAGATGGAAATGGCAAACCACTCCAATACGTTTGCCAAGAATACTCCAGAAAGGGGTCACAAAGAGTCAGACATGACTGAAAAATGACTAAACAATAGCAAAAGAGCTCTACTTAGCAGAAATGCCACCAAAAACCTAGGCAGAAGCAATCAGCATGCATGTACCTCAGGCAAAGGAATGAAAACAGAAGTAAAATGTTAAAAATAAAGTGAGCCCATTACACTTAGTGCTGTGCCTGACTCACAGTGAGGGCATAGGTAATTCTCCTTGATTGACTGATTTATTTGCCTCCCTGACCTGGGGACCTTAATTTGTACTGGTAGGACTTCTCCAAGAACAGGGGCCCTGGAGTACATCACCTCTTATTTGGAATGGAGCTTTGGTACAAAGCTACATGCATTGTCACTAGGAAACTCCCATCCAAATAATTATTCACTAAAATGTAGAACGATGAGCCATTTATTGATTAATCTGAATGATAGAAATAATATACGTGGAACTTTTTGCTTTATAAAGTGCTTCTACTTAGGTCATTTCATTTTATCTTCACGACTTTTTGAGATCGAGTGGGTATTATCTTCCCCATTTTATAGATAACAAAACTGAGGCACGATGTTAAAAGACTTGTTCAAGGCCACATAGCTAGTTAGGGACTGAACCAGGGCTAGGATCCAAGCCCTCCTATCTCTTCAGTTCCACACTCTTAGTAGACTATACTGCTTTGTGCCAGAAAGAGAGTTAATCACTTGTATGTGGAAATATCCATGAGCTTCATAAGCCCACCAGCTTTGCCAGGTCCCTGTGGCCCTTGGGTTCTGGATGGGGGCAAGAAAGTACCAGCAGTGCCATTGTAGTCTCCTATGCGGAGCTTGTAGAGGCTTCTGCTGTCCCCAATAGAGAACTTGTCATAATAGGCGTAAGCTGCTTCTTGGCCGTCTCGCATGTCTATCCGCAACTCATATCGCCCTTGGGAAGTGATCTTGTGAATGTTATCCAGCCCTGCAGAGAAGAGCAAAGAATTTGAGTGAGACCTCAGCCAGAGCAGCTTGGGAAGAGAAGGAACAATGAGTCTGTGTCCATGAAACTTGTGTTGAATGCAGAGGAGATGGCATAGCATGGGATAGAAGAGGCAGCCAGACATCTTCCCCCGCCCCCAAGCCTGACCACCCCAATTGAATAAAAGCCCTGAGGGCAGGGAAAATTTCATTTTCATTTTTGTCTATCCCGTGCCTAATGCAATACCTTGCACATAATTGGTTTTTAATAAATGTTTCCTGAATTGAATTCCTACTCGAACTGCTGTAGTCAGTACCATATTGTTCAGAATTAAATCACACTCTCATTGTTTTATGTGTGTTTGTCTTGCCTTGCCAGCTAGACTATAAGCTGTATGAGGGCAAAGACCCTCTTTTACTTTCTTTTTGTTTGGATCCTTGATGAATAGTTCTTGATTTGGTTTTTGCCTTATTATCTTTCCTATGCTTCTACGGTGCTTGTGTTGGGCATGTCATAAATGCCCAATAAATACTTGTTACTTGATTGCTTGCCATTCCATCACTCCCATAACGACTGACATAGGGTCACAGGATTTAGAACTGGAAGAACATTAGAGATCATCTAGGCCTTGAGCAAGCGGAAGCCTAGAGTGATTTTTCCTAAGGCTCATGGGGAGTAAGTAGCAGAAACAGCATTCACACCTAGCTCCTTGGACTCCAAATCCAGTGCGCTTTTCATTGTCTGACCAAAAAGAAAGACCGAGTTTGTTGAATTTCCTCTAGACTCCTTGTCTGACTTCTGTCAAATTTCATATGGGGGCAGATTCTAATTTGGCATCGAGAACTGACCTCAGAGATTGTCTGTACGCCGCTCCGTTCTGATCCCTACTTCCTGCCAGTCCTGGACCTCCAGGAAATTGCCAGTCACCTCTAATGCCTTCTTAATTTTCCTATTTCCTTCCCAAAGTGGGTAATAACATTTCTCCGTGGAGCTAAGCGAAATGACTGGACTCATTTCTCTTGTGACCTAAGGCTGGCTGGTGCCTTGCTTCTTGGAGATGAAAGACCCCCCTGTTAACTCACTCTGCCGTTTACCCCAGCTGGGCAGCTCTATCCCTTTGTAGTTCTCTCATGTCAAATCCCATCAACATAACAGACTATTAATGAGGCTAGAAGAGCTAGCACAAAGGGGGAAATACCACAATAAGATAAAAACAGATCAATAGAGAAGCCAAACAGAGTGAAAGGTAATGAGAACAATTTGGGAGCTGTCAGCTTTCTGAGCAGACACAAGGAGATGGGGCAGGTAAGTGGGAAGAGAGTTCCTCGGAACCCGAGGTGGACACAGAGAGGTAAGAGATGGACACGATGTCAAAGTAGCACAGAAAAGAAAAGCAGGGGGTCAATACCCAGCCAAAACTCATCCTCTAAGTTTCCAAAACCAACACGATAATCTGTCCATTTCCGGAAAAAATCTGTCAGGCCATTCTGCCGTCTCTGGAACACCTAAAAAGGCAAGGGGGAGAAATGAGAATGGGTGCTACAGATGGGTACTAGGCAAACATCAGGCAGATTTGGATTCTTTCTTTCTCTTTCGCTCTCTTCTTCTCTCTCTCCGTCTTTCTCTCTCTGTCTCTGTCTCTGTCTCTCTCCCCAACAGAACAAGGTATCAGTATTGGGCCTGTTATTTTCATGGATACTTTGCTCCTCTTTCTATGTCTACACTCTTCTAATAGGATTGGGTGTTATATTGGCAATCATGTTCACTCTCTGAATGTGGACAATAACAAAAGTATGCATAAATCCTTCAGAATGGTTAGAAGAGGTAGTCCTAGCCCTATGCTTTTCTATGTTGTTAAATAGGAGTTTTTCACCAAAAGAAAGGGAATGACTCTCATCAACTAGTGACTGACACCATCATATTGGAGGCAAAGTAACTGCAAATCATTCACTTTCCAAGCTGTTTAAGTGCTAATTTCATTTACCCTCCAATAAATCAGCTTCGACTTCAATTTCCAATTATGCTTTAAGAAGCAGGCACACATATGTCAGAGATATAAAAGGGAATGTCTCCCAAGAGCAGCTGTTACGAACAGAGGTACCATTTAACTCTTCAAAAACGACCCATTTTCAGCAGTTTGAAAAGGCTAGCTCTGTCAGTGGGGCAGGGTGAGGTGGGGGGAGGTAGGGTTGGTTGGGGAGAAGGTTGGGTTATAGGACTTCTCATCCCTCACTTCTCAGCTGCCCAGGGATATGCTGGGGTCAGACATTAGGAGCATTCCAATTTTTAAAAAATTCAACCGAACCAATATTTATTAAGAACCTACTCTGTGCAAGGAGCCATGTTAGGCACTTAGGACACAATGATTAAAACAAAGTTGTACCTGCTTTCAAGCTTCAATGGATTGAGTTGATGCAACACAAACAGAGATAAGTACATACCACACAGTGTCAAAATAAACAAAAAATGATGGCAGGAAGCAAGGACTAAGAAATGGGGATAAACAGGGAAGACAAAGGAAGCTTGGAATTTTAATATGTTGTATGAAGAGGGAGTACATTCTAGGCATGGAGGACCCCTGTGCAAAGGCATTTATTCTGAGATAACCTACATTGTTTCAAGCATTAGTGGAGAGTCATTCATTTTATTCTCAAGCCTGCACCTCATGCCACAGCCCTGGCATAGTTATCAACAGGCCCAGAAAATGAGGCTTTTCTGAATTCAAAGTCTTGAACACTCAAGGTCCCCGAAAATTCCCAAATATTCTTGGTGAGAATCAGAGTGATAATAGTAATGGGGATAGAGATGGTGCCAAGAGCAGGGGTGCTAAGGTTCTGATCCTGGGTGAGTCCACATGCCTCTGTCTGTCTCCCAACATTTGACTTTACACAGTAGGACTGAGAAGGAGGAGCCTCTTTAAGAGATTATCCAACCCACTGACATGTAGAACTACAAAAGCACTTCACCCCATTTGCCTGTTATAGCTAAGGCCCACAGAAGAGCTTCTATGTGTGCCTGCTAAGTACCTGGAATTAAACTCATCTTGCTTCCTTTTCTCTTTCAAGGGTGTTCAGGGTTCAAGACCTCAGCATCCCTGCTCCTGTCACCATCTCTACCACCATCACTAGTATCATGGTGGCTCTCACTAAGAGTATCAGGGAATTTTCAGGGACCTTCAGTGTTTATGGCTCCTCTGGAGCATGCTGTTCCGCCTTCCCTTCTCTTCCTCCTGAATTAACAATGCTTGGGAAAGGAATAAGAGGGAAGGTAGAGAATCCTGGTTTGTCTCCCAAATTCCTGGTTCCTTCTCTTGACTCTCCCAGTTTTAATCTTACTTGCTTCCACGTTGTTTAACTTGTCTGTGTCTGGGCCACTAAATAGGGTTTCCAGGAAACTGAAGAAATGGGAGAGACTGAATTGCGGTGACGGATAAGAGGGTATGGTAAAAGAAAAAAGAATTTACAGAATGCTGTGAATGTTCAGAGGCTCTGAGAAATCTCATTGTTACTTACAATCCAGCCGCCCCCGTCAGTTGTCATATCGCAGTACACCTGGACCTTCTGGCTCAGGTCCCCATTGATGGAGATGGTGTAAACCCCACTGAGGGTGTCTCCATTTATCAAATGCTGGGCACAGTCCTGAGGATGAGGGAACACCCGACCCCCTGGACAGGGAGAAAGGGAGATTTCCTAAGAATGGCCATTTCTTTAACCATTTGTACTAGTCCCTGCCAGCAGAGAAATAGTTTTTTGAAGGGGGGATAATATATCTACACACACACACACACACACACACACACACACACACACACATACAAACATGCATATACCAGAACACCTACCTGGAACTATCACAATAAGGCAAATAAATACTTGAATTGTGCTGTGAGAAAAAGTACATTCTATCCATTCAAGATATGCTTTATAGTTTTTTAACTGCTGATTATGGTCAGTTATGTATGGGTCATAATAAATCAGTAAGCATTTCAGGCAACCAATTTGTCAGCTACCTTTCAAAAGATCTTGAGGCTTCTAAGCATCACTCTATATTGTCTTAAAAACTGCTGCTATGATGTGCCTGAATAGGCAAACCTCTAGGGAGCAGAGTATTATGAATTAGTACAACAGTTGGTAATCTTTTAGGGGAGAAGAGCCATTGGATGAAATCAGAGGATGACATGCTGGAAATATTTTGGGACTGGCTGAAAAAATGAGATGCACCTATTGGCCTATGTATATAAGAGGACAATTCTAGCAACACATCAGTTACGCTTCCAGTGTTCTTTAAGCAAGAATATCTCTGCTAGAGGGCAAGATGCTTTAGTCCAGAGAGAGTGTCACTCTCAACCCTCGCTCACATATTGACCATGTCATTGGAGAGAATGAATCAGCCTGGAGCTGAGAGAGGACAAACTCGATACATTGCTTCAGGGACTAGGAACTTTTGGAGCCATAGAAAAGTGACACCATGAACTCTAGAAAGGCATTTATCCTTGGAACACAAAAGAGATGACTCACAGGAATTTGACAAAGGGTGTGCATTACCCGTTTGTACATGTGTTTTCTGTGTGCATGCCTTGATGTTGTATTTTAAGTGTGTACCCATTTTCCCCGGCTCTGTGTATATTTGTGAGAGAGTATGCCCTAGACTTTGGGGATGACATTTCTGTAACAACTATTTGTGCCATATATGTTTAGTAACTGTACCTAACTAAATGCTAATTAAATGTGGCTGACTGATTAGCAATCAGTGAGGAACACATTGGATGGCATGTACAGTTGTTATAGAAACTTACCAGTGTACTACACTGCCACCAGAAAGGTTTTTTTTTCAATTCCCAGTTTTATTTGAACTTTAGCTTTATTTGAACTATATTAATATATTTTCTATCATTTAAATAAAAAGTTCCTCAACCTTTCAAAGAACTTTATTTTTCAGGGGTTTTTTTGTTTTCTTTTTTTCTTAATAGTATTTTATTTTTTCCCAAATACATGTAAAAATAGTTTTCAACATTCATTTTTGTAAAATTTTGAGTCCCAAATTTTTCTCCCTCCCTCCCTCCCTCCCTCTCTCTCTCCACTCCCCCCTTCCCAAGACAGCAGACAATTCCAGAGAGATTTTTAAACCAGCCTCATCTGTATTAGTTTGTTCATTTCTATTAATTTATTTAATTCATATAGAGGTGTAATCTGGCTGTTACACACCCCCTTTCTCTTGCTGTTGGTTGTTTTTTTTCACCCAACCTGCTTTCACACAGACAGATCATGGTTTCCCAGAGAAGGATCGTTACCATACAGTTATGCCACAAACTTGCTTAGGGTACTAGGGGGTAACCTTATTGTGTATATGTTTGTATGTGTGGATATACTCCTACTATTTGCCATTATAGCTCCTGAGGTCTAACCAATGTACATTTAGAATGTATATTTATATAAAACCAGACACTGTGATGGCTTTAGATTTTAAATGCAAAACATTTACTTAACAATAAGGCAAAGGCAAGAATAATCATCACAGTTACTGAATATAATGAAAATGCAGGAATAATAAAAACATCAGAGTACATATAAACCTGGGTCACACTCTTCTACTATAGTATCCAGAGGGAAGAGTAGGCACACAATGATAGAAACCTAGCAGGAGGCACATGAGTGGAGAATGACATGTGCCAAGGGCATCTCACAACTTTATATGGCAGGTCTTGATGTCCTTGGTTCCTTCAGCAATAATCTATACCACACAAAGCTACTGCTGTACTAGCTGCTTCCCTTCTGGTCTTCATTACTCTCCTGCTGGGCAAAGTCTCTCCTTTTTCTTTTGAGCTGATGAAATAGTAAAGAACTTTTTTAACTTGCAATTGTCTTTAACAAGGCTCAGAGAACCTGTTAACAACTGACAAGTAGTGACAAGGACTTCCATTAAGCCGGAGAACAGCAATGTTCCTCAAGTTGACTCTCTGAGTAAAGTAGACAAGTCCAGTCAGCTCTTCACTCAACAAGATTCTGCTTTGTTTGATTATCTCTCATCCTCCTCTTACAGTAAATAAAAGTTTGGAGCAAAATCACTCAGAAAACTCTTCGGACAATGAAGACAAGTCCAGCTGGCTCTTCACTTAACAGGCTTCTGCTTTGTTCAATCAGCTCCCAAGCTCTTCTTGCATCAAAACAGATTCAAAGTCTGTCTCTTTTTCTTTGTCTCTCCCTCTTGTACCAAATAGGACAGGAGAGAACAACTAGGCATCTCTCAGAGGTATCATCTCTTTTAAGCTGTACTTGGTGCTGGAGAGCAATAGCTCAAACCATACCAGAGTTCAGTTTTCTTCCAATGAGCTTCCCAGAAACCGCTTTTCCAGGCTTTTCTTCAGCTAATTTGCAAAGAAGTTTCTCTCTTCCAATCATCATCTCTGAGCACAGTTGTTGAAGCCTTTTGGTTAGCTCACTTTCCTAATGAATTCTTCATTTCTTCTAATGTCTTGAAACAGAGCCTCCTTGTGGTCAGTGACTCATCTTTTCCTTGATCAAGTAAAATTCATGAAATTCACCTATTAGGTATGAAATCGAGTTCTTTTTAAATCTTCCCATGATGTCTAAACAATTGATTGATTTACTATTTTGTAAGTTATAACCTCTCAAACTCTAAAAACAGTCACATGCAAATGAGCTGAGAGATCACAGTGTCTTGAAGCCTCAATAATTTCTCTGCCCTTGTTAATTCATTCATCAGAAGTATTATCCTCTATCTTGTCTTCCTAACAGCATCTGTCTCTCATTTTATTGGAGAAGCTGTTTCTTCACAAGTAGATTAAAATTGTTTCTCAAATACATATTTTTGTGCTCCTTTTAGCAAATAAGTTGTTTAGATGTGAAAGGAGCAGGACATTATATCCTTCAAAAGTCAATTTCATCCTTTTTCTTTCTAGAAAAGTTCTTTTGCCATCCTTTTCAAAACCAAACTTCTCATAAATGGAAGGGGCGGGTCTTACTGCCATACATCAACCTTACTTAAATCAATAAGATAGACTAGTGGGTGGTATTCTTGGTTTGGGGTCAGGAAGACTAGATTGAAATCCTGCATTTCATGCTTATTAGCTATGTGACTCTGGGCAAGTCACCTAATCTCTGTTTGTCTCACAATTGAATAAGTCCTACAGGTTTTATACTACCCTGCCAAAGCCATGGAATTCTTCAGGAATTTCTTTTACACAAGTTTAAATGGATATATAAAATAATTATTTATTTCCTTCAAAAGGTCTTTGTTACTTAGAATGCACATTTGGTTTAGAAACTAGGGGGGCTCCTGAGAAACTCCCATATGATATTACTACAATGAGTTGATCAGATTATCACCTAGTCCTATCCCATATTTTATCTTCTCATTCCCATAGAACAGGAAGAGCAGCAAGCACTGGGAAAAATGGTGGACAAATGAGTTCAATGACTAAGGAGAGGAAGTCCAAGTGGAGTGCCCCCCAGTGGAAATTTAATGTTTTGGACACCGCTGGCAGCAGGGATTATTTCAGCTCTAGACCTGAACTCTACTCCTCTATGAGTCTAGTGATTTATACGTTCACACTACATAAAGCATTTTTGTATTGAAACACACACAGGCACACACACACAAAAGACTCATTTTTCATCGATCATCACCATAATAATTTTAGCTCAAATTTACATGTGTGTGAAAGTTTATAAAGCCTTAAAGATTAGATTATAAACCACTAGATTATAAACTCCTAGAGGGCAGGTTCTGTTTTCACCTTCCTTTGTAATCCCGGTGTCTAATACATTTTAGGTAGTTAATAAATGCTTGTTGACTTAAATATTACAAAGTACTCTATGAGTCAACATATAGTTATAGAGGATTTACTTATCCAATAGAAGACTTGGATATATATCCAATATATATCCAAGGATATAGGACAGTGCCTTGCACATTGGTGATTAACAAAGAGATGTTGAACTCAAATGAATTTCTATAAAACCTGCATGCACATAATTAAAGAACCAGATGCAGCTCAAGCCAGTTACCAAGCCCTGGAGCTGGAATTCTGGTTCAAAAAATTTCTTTAGTGGACCAAAGAGTCAAATGTCTAGTTTACTGTTTAGTTTTATTTTAGGAGAATTGAAAGAAGGAGAGGAAGCAATTTACTACTGATCTCCCAGATTGGGTGGAAACAGTCTAATTTAGAGAATAATTACTAATTAGTTAAAATTGGACCTAAAGAGTTTATCTTCAGGGCACAATATAATGCTTAGCAGGCAACTAGTACCCAACCAGAGGGATATTGAAAGATTTAGGAGCTAATACCATAAGTTATATAGAGTACTAGGTTATAAAGAAACACTCATTTGAGCAACATGAAATTTGGCTGCTTTACGAATATACAACTTTGAAGTTTGTTCCATAATTTTGTTTGGTAAGAGGTAATTAAAAGGGAATGCTTTGTTAATAAATAGCTTGATTTGGTTAAAGGAATGTGGTTCTATGGGCAGATTTCAGAAGAAATCAAAGCTATCAATAATCATATGAAAAAATGCTCTAAATCACTATTGATTAGAGAAATGCAAATTAAAACAACTCTGAGGTACCTCCTCATACCTATCAGACTGGCTAATATGAGAGAAAAAGAAAATGACAAGTGTTAGAGGGCATGTGGAAAAATTG